TCTTGATCATCAATTTCCGTATACCGATCTCATGTGTCTATTTAGGTAATTAAAATTTCTACCAAAAAATGATTTATATAGTACTTTTAAAGTGTATTTGTCTTCTTTCAAAAAAAAAAAAAAAAAAAGACGACAATGGAGCTAGGAGACTGGCCTCCACACCTCATCACTAGACAGAACAGAAACTGAAATTATGAATCTAACTATCCCAAAAAAGATTAAAAAAAAGAAGCTAGCATGTTCATACCTTGATTAATTCTGGGCTTAGAGAGAGAAAGGAGTGCTCCGTCCAACCTTTGAGAGAGAGAGAGAGAGAGAGGGAATCGGTAAATTTAAATCTACTATATAGGTTATGAGCAGAAGAAGAGAGATGGTAGAAGAGAATATATATATATATGAAAGTTTGAATATATTCATGAGGGTCAAACTAATTAAATTAGGGTTGAAGGTCCTGATGTGCTGTATCGTAGTCGGCTCCATTCACTGTACTATAATTGGGTTCTCTCTCGTGTTGATCAAGCTTTAATTTATCATGCTGGTAATATAGGAAATAAAGCTGATGAGATCACATGCATAGCAATAGAAATTAGCAAGGCTTCATTTGGTAAATGACTAGTTTTCTTTCTTTCTTTCTTTCTTTTGTGCATGGAATAATTGCATCTGCATTAATGACTGCTTTTAAACGTACAATTAATGTCGCAAATTTTCTACAACTTAAGGTTTTCCGAAGGAAGAATATATTATTAAAAAGAGGAGAGATCTTCTCTTTAAGGGAAAATATATATATATATATATATGTATATATATATACACACCATTTTCAGGGGAGGTGCAGCTACCGGAGAGGACTGAAAGAAAGTGAGAGATGGAGGGCGTGAAGAAGAGAGATAGTGGAGGGAGAGAGAACAGGAAGTGAGAGAGGGAAGAGAGAGATATTCGGTGAGTAGAGAGGAAGAGAGAGATATATATGCGGTGATCATGCACTTTTAAAGTGTATTTATCTTCTTTTTCTAAAAAAAAATATGATAGAAAATACAAAGAAAGAAAATAAGAGAAAAGGAAAATGTCTTGTGATCTTGATCATCAATTTCCGTATACCGATCTCATGTGTCTATTTAGGTAATTGAAATTTCTACCAAAAAATGAGTTATATAGGAACTTTAAAGTGTATTTATCTTCTTTTTTTAAAAAAAAAATATGATAGAAAATACAAAGAAAGAAAATAAGAGAAAAGGAAAATGTCTTGTGATCTTGATCATCAATTTCCGTATACCGATCTCATGTGTCTATTTAGGTAATTAAAATTTCTACCAAAAAATGATTTATATAGTACTTTTAAAGTGTATTTGTCTTCTTTCTCAAAAAAAAATTAAAAGAAAATGCAAAAAAATAAAATAAAAGAAAAGGAAAATGTGTTGTGATCTTGATCATTATTTTCTATATACCGATCTCATGTGTCTATTTAGGTAATTAAAATTTCCATCAAAAAAGGATCTATACTGTACGTTTCTTCTGGCTAAAGGTTCTAAATTGGGCTTCGTATATACTATATATGGAGTCATTGCTTTAGTATGTTCCCAGATTTGTATATATAGAAAATCGTTTTGACCTTTTTATAGTAAATATTAGGTACTAATATGAATTCTTACTCGGACATTAGTTGATAAATAGAATTCACGAATAAATAGAGTTGATATGAACATAGTACTAACACTTCTCCTGATTTTCTAAAACAAAAAAAACAAAAAACAAAAAAACAAAAAAACAAAACAAAAAAAAAACAAACAAACAAACAAACCTTACAATTAGGGGATCGGGGTTTTTTTTTTTTTTTTTTTTTTTTTTTTTTTTTTTTTTTGCAAAAATTTCATAGTATAAGTATTATATATAACGTTATTACTAAGTTCTCAACTAATAGAAAATATTATCTATTCATACATCTATAGTGATTACAAATTTAGCATAACGATAAATTCAAATTTAATTCCACTTTAAGATGTAGCGTTTAAATCTTTATTATTTAATTAGTTATAAGACACAATTACGCTGGTTACAGTATATATCCGTCAATTAGTGTCAACTGAGGTTGTCAATTCCGATTTTTCATCTTCTTTCTTTTTCGTCCCCCACAGAGCTTATAAAGTGTTGACGTATATGTGAACTTATAGAGTGTTCCCTGCACAAATACACAAACCTTTAAACACAAAACCGGAAGTTAATAGACATTGATTTATCTATTATTCATATTATATAGCCCAAAAAATAAATCAAGAAGGAAAACAACCACTCAGACACAAAAAAGCACTAGTTCATAATTTGCAAGCACTATTATAATTTTCTAGCAAAAAAAAAAGGCACTATTATAATTATGCAGTGGATATGTCATGATTGAAGCGATGAGCACTGCTTGAAATTTTTGAAGAATTTCTATATTGCGCTTCTTGAAGAATTTCTATAATTTATATAGGTTAGAAGGGTGTTCGTCGGTTCGGTTTTGTCGGTTTTGGTCGGTTCGGTGGCCGAACCGACCATGTCGGTTTTCTAAAAGTTAGAACCGAAACCGAACCGCACCTAACAGTTTCGGTTCGGTTAACTGAATTTCGGTTTCAGTCGGTTTTTAGTTTTGGTAATCAAGAAGATGACCTCAGTTAACCATTAGGTTACCAGCATCTTTAATTGTATTTTTGACCCGCAAGTACGAAAAAATGTAAAATTTTCCTTCAATGTAAAGTTGCAAACACGTAATCACAATAAATGAATACAAGCACAACATCAAAATTGATAATTGCACAAACACAAGTTTAAAAAACATTTAAATTGTCATAAGTAAAACAAAACGAAAACATTAAAAAAAAGAAAAATCCCATCTCGGTCGGTTCGGTTTCAACTGACTCTCTACACGCAAAACCAAAACTGAACCGATTTTTGAGGAAGTCGGTCGGTTAACTAAACCGACTGTGTTCGGTTCCACGTGGCATCGTCGTTTTCAGTTTTGAGCGGTCAGTTTTTCGGTCGGTTTCGGCCGGTTTCAATTTTACAGTTTTTTTGTACACTCCTGCTAGATTAGGCACGGACTAGGCCAAACTTAAGCCAAGCCTAAACTTTTTCACGGGCCTCCTTGGGTCAGGCCTAGCCTATTTGTAGTGTATCCAATCAGGCATGAGTAACTCATAGGCCTGGTTGATACGAACCCCGCCAACGATGTGACGAAACCCGTAGCCAAATATGGGATACGATCCAAGATCTTCAAGAATTGATGGAAACCGCGACCCGTTGCTTAGCGAAGCAAGAACCTTGGTATGGTGAAGACGCCACAAACGAGTATGGAAATTCCGTTTGATAAGTCAAGGGTGAACGCCACAAGGAAAACCTTGATAAGTTCGGAATTGTTCTTCAATAACTAAGAAGAATATCTCACAAAGTGAATAAACAT